GAAAGCAGTGAAGGGCAGTGATCTCTCGGTAGTGAGAGACAAACTGGGGGTGCCTACAGCAGCCCAGTTTACTGCCTGGAGAAAGCTTCCTCCCAAGTGTCAAAGGGAAAGACGCCCCATCACTCCTAGGAGGCCGGGAAGGTCCAAGCTTTCTACCCAGGGCCGGGCTACCTGGTTCACGGGCTGGGAAACAGTGCCACTTACTGGTCATGTGGAGGAACTGCAAGGCTTCGTGCACCACCCATTTCAAAGGCGCTCTCTCTCTGTGCCATTCATTGGATCCAGACTCATGGTGACCCTAGAGGACAGGGTAGAACTGCCCCTGAGGGTTTCCAAGCCTGTAACTTTATGGAAGTAGAAAGCCTGATCTTTCTCCCAAGGAGCAGCTGGTGGGTTCAAACTGCTGACCTTGTGTTGAGCAGCCCAACACAGAACCCACTACGCCCCAGGGCTCTCTGCTCCATTATGTTAAATGAGCAAGGACATTTGTTAAATCGGCAAGGGCATTTGCAGCCAGTTGGACTTGGTTCTCTCCCCATCTCGGTGGCAGTGGGACAGGCTGAACAGGCTGGAAATTGAGAGGACCCAGGTTCAGTCCTTTATCACCTGTGGGAGTGACACTAGGAGCAAGTCTCCCAGCCTCAGGCTCAATTCCACTAGGGTAACCAACACCCCAGGACGGGCTGCCTGTGAGGGACACCCGAGGGTGGGCTATGTTGTGTAAACACAAACATCTTGGGCACTTGTTTTGTGCCGCTTTGTTCCTGGGGCTTTGTGCGTGGTAGTGGTGGTAGCACGGAGCACAGCTGCTTACACGGTGGTCGCCAGCCTGAACATGGGGTTTCAGAAAATCTAACAACAAAAGGCTCAGGATATGCAACAACCAACAATTGATTGAAAATCAAGCCCACCATGAATCTCAGGTGTTTCTGGCAGCGCTTGCCCACGTCATCAATTTCTCGGGTTGAAAATTGAGGTGCAAGTAGATTCTTAAGAAAGGATTTTGATTTAAGAAAGGATTTTGATTGACAGCATTTAAGAAAGGATTTCGATTGACAGCAGGCCCAGACCACAGTGTGTGGCTGTGCCTCCCCTGCCTCCCGTGGACAAGGGAGCAGACCTTCCCCCTGAGGAGCCACAGGGGGGCGGGGGGGGCACCAGTCTACTGGCTAGTAGCTGAGTGCTTTCACAATTGAGCCACCAGGTTCCCTTGCCTGGTGCTTCTGATGAGTGACATCGTTCCACCCAGGGAGGTTCAGAGAGGTGAAGCCGCTTGCCAGTATTCAGCTCCTAGGAGTTAAAGTCAGATTTGAGAGCTTGCGCTTTCCGCCACAGATGTAACGTTAATCCTGGAGCATGTTCACCACAGGCCCAGGTCCCACCGACCCCCAGAATCCTGATTTAATTGTGTGGGTGGGAGGGCCAGGCTGAGTGATACATAGAAACTCCCAAATTGATCCTGGTGTGAACTTCTGATGTAGAGGGTACACCCCAAACCCAAACCCAAACCCATGCCGTGCCGACTCCCAGCGGCCCTGTAGGGCAGGGCAGAACTGCCCCCTGGGTTTCTGAGACTGTTTCTCTTCACTGAAGAAGAAAGCCAAGTTTGTCTCCCTCGGAGCAGTCAGTGGCTTCAAACTGCTGACCTTGAGGTTAGCAACACAACGTATAATCAACACACCTCCAAGACTCCTCGAAGGTATGTCTACTTGACCCCAAAGTCTTAGTGCAGGTTTAAACTCTCATATTTCTAGATATGTAAATCTACAGGCATATTCTACAAATAAATTTAAAATCTCACTTAGATTTATTTTATTGTTGTTGAACTGTTTATTGTGAATTGGGTGAAGGTGTACAGAGCAGACCATGGGTTTTCCATTCAAATATCCAGCCACAGTGGTTTCACCTCATTCACTGCCCATCACTGATCCTACTTGGCCTTTATTTTGTTCTGTAAACAGCAAACAACCACTTGCTCACTTTTTTCTGTCTTGAATCACCTTCTCCATCTTTGATCAGAGGGAGGGAGGGCCCAAAGCAAAAAACTTAAATTTAAAATCTATTCTTTCAAATTGAGGGGACTATGGTGGGGTAACAGAAATTTGCACACGCAGGACTGTTTGCTTTGTTGATTTGTGGCATTTCCCTGTCTGAGGTCATTTGAACAAACCCAACACCAGGAATTTGGGGAGACACCGGGAAGTAGACCCTGGGGTGAGACCAGGAGGCTGAGAGCTGTGATGTCTCAGAGGGCTGGGCAGCCAGGGCTGGTGGAGACCGTAGCTGGCCAAAGGACCTGAGAGCGGCCTGGGTGCCTGGGGAACTGAGGCACCCAGCAAGGGGAGCAGCAAGCAGTGAGGCTGGGAAGGGAGACAGGGCACTGAAACCCGTGGCGATCGGCCTTTCCTCTGGGCCGTAGGGAGCCACTGAGGGCCCCTAAGTTTCAGAGGGTCATGATCTGCTTTGTGTGAGTAAAGAGATAGCTCTCAAACCACACGGAGAGTGCCTAGTGAGAGTGGGGCAATGCAGATTCCCTTGTGTCTGATGCACCACATTAGGGGTGGAGCCTGGGAATCTGCTTTGCTCCCTACTGTCTGCCCTCTTGCGAGACATGCTGGCTGCTATCTGCAAGGTCAGCCATTCAAAACCACCAGCCTCTCCGCAGGCGAAAGATGGGGCTTTCTACTCCCGTAAAAACTCAGTGGCTGATCTACCCTGTCACTGTGAGTTGACATGATGGCAATGAGTTTGGGAAAGCCTCTCTCCAGTGGATGGAAAATTCCATCCCAGGTGAGCTAGGAGTTTGACTGGGAGGGGCAGAGGAGAGCACTGGAGCCAGGGGGAGAGAGCGATTTCATTGAGTTTTGTTTTATGGCAGGACGCTTCATCATTTGGATAGCCTGGTGGGAGTAGTGCGAGTGGAGAGCAGTAGCTGCTTCCTTTTTGTCACTGTGCAGAGAAGGCCTTTGTAACTAGGGACCAATAAGCCCTACAGTGGTATCACCTCTGAAAGCCACAGTGGAGAATGTGCCAGAAATGCCTTGGGGGACACTGGTGAGGATGTGGTCCTGTCTCAGGCCTCTGCCCTGGGGCAAAGGGAAACAGCACACGGTCAGGGAAACCCTGAGCAAGCCACTTAACCACCCTGAGCCTCACTTTCATCTGTCTGAACAGAGAGAAACCTGCAGCCTCCCTGCCCTGATGTGACCCAGTGGAGTCAATCCAACTCAGAGCGACCCTATAGGACAGGGCACACTGTCCCTGGGGGTTTCCAAGACTGTCAATCGGTCTGGGAACCGGAAGCCTCACTTTTCTGCAGAAGAGAGGCTGGTGGTTTTAGAACTACTGACCTTGTGGTCAGCAGCCCAACATGTAACCCAGTATGCCACCAGGCCTCTGACGATACAGTGGTTACGAGTGTAGTATAACCACTTCAAGCAAGAAAGGTGCTAAACCCTCTGAGGGAGAGGTGGATGGCGCATGGGATACTCACGTGATCACCAAGTTCTGGGCCAGGGAGTCCTTACTCATGACAGATGGAGAAATAATGACCTTTAACCAAAAGGCGCCCTGTTGGCACAGTGGCTGGGTGCTCAGCTGCTAGCCCAGTGGTTCTCAACCTTTCTAATGCCGTGACCCTGTAATACAGTTCATGTTGTGGTGACCCCCCCCCCCCCCCATAAAATTATTTCCATTGCTACTTCATCACTGTCACTTTGCTACCGTTATGAATCAGGTAACCCCTGTGAAAGGGTCGTTTGACTCCCATAGGGGTCGCAACACACAGGTTGAGAACCGCTGTGTTAGCCACAAGGTTGGCGGCTGGAACTCACCTGTGGCTCCTTGAGAGGAAGCTGTAGCCATCCGCTCCCAAGAGCATCGCTGGAGGTGCGGTGGGCCAGCGCTACTCCGTCCTGCAGAATTGCTGAGTCAGAACCCACTGGTGGTGTGGCTGTGGGTTTGACCATAGACCTAACAAGAGGCAACATGTGGTCCCCAAGTACATCTGAGAGAAGGTGACAGTTAGTCTGCTGCTAATCAAAGTACCAGAGATACAACACAAGTTAAGCTTTCGTTTGTCAAAAATCTATAATGTTAACAGTCCCCTCCATTGCAGTTACAAACTCCGTTTAAGCTTCATCAGCATGGATATTCAGATTCAGGAAGGTGGCAAGCAAGGCCATTAGGCTAATTAGCCAGACAGGAGCATCCTAGTCAGAGGCCTTGGGGGCAGTGGACAACAATTTAGACAAACAAGGATACATGAAGCTCCAGGAGATGATAGCCCAAGAGAACTGGAGGTATAATGTCCTAACAATCCTCACAAAACCTGCCTTCTTAAGAGTATCAATTGTATCCTGTCTCATTGTGAAAACCTGTAACCATTGTAAAAGTCCTGCTTCTGTCACATAGTTTAAAGTAGATAAGCTTGTTCTACCGCACTGGGCTTTGAAGCAGTCCAGAGGGTGAAGCCGGCTGTTTCCTTCTGGCAGCGCTTGCAGGAATACACTTGGAATTTCTCGAATCAACCTGGTCTCGTTTGGGTAACAGAGACAGGCTCTCCCAGACTCCTTGCAGTCAGACAACACACCAGGATGCCGATGGGAGGGCGTCCTATTTGGGAGAACTAGGGGAATCAGAATATAAACTGTAAATAAAAAAGAAAGACAGAAAGAAGCCCTGCCACGGAGTCAATTCCAACTCAGAATAAATATAAACGCTATGCCTGAATGCAAACTGTATTCATAACAAATTTCTTGGAGAGGAAAATGGCATTCAGCTCAGGTAGAACAGCGGCCCTGTTCCTATGGGAGACGTGCTGAACTGTTTCAAGATAAACACCCGCAGGTCATCTTTAAAGGGACTCGAAAAAGGAGCGCCCCGCCCGCCAGCGCTAGAGCCGCGCGTGCGCGCTCCCGGAGACGTCGTTAGCGCCGGCGGAGATCAGAGGGGGCGTCGCAGGGCGGAAGTGCGCAGCGGCGAGTTCCGGCAACCGGGCCGACGTCAAAGGCGACGGGATGGAGGAGGTGCCTCAGGGTGAGCGCGCGGAGGAGACGTGGGGCGTGGGTCCGGAGGGCGGGAACCCCGCTAACTGTCATCTTGTGTCCGCGCAGAGTGCCCCGGGACCGGCAGTGCCCAAGCGGGCCGAGGGGCCTCGTGTCAGGGATGCCCCAACCAGCGGCTGTGCGCCTCGGGAGCCGGTGCCGCCCCGGACCCGGGTGAGGAGGGGGCGGGGCCTGTCCCGGAAGTGATGGGCAGGGCCCGGAAGAGGCGGGCCTGTGATGGGGCGGGGCTCTAGGATGAGTGACAGGCCACGGAGCGCGTGACGGGGACGGGAAGGCAAGGGAAGGCGGGGTGGAAAAAATATCGCCGACGGTGAGGGGCGGGGCTCCAGGGGCGTGGAAAGGGCAGAGCCAGAGGCTTGAGTGACAGTAGCCGGCAGCGGTCAAGCCTGGCCGGAACCAGGGGCATTGGTCAGCTTTGAGGACAGGAGGCCCCACGCGTGACTCCACCAGCCACCAGCCACTTTCTAGATGGACAACATTTTCTGTCTTGTGAGGAAGAGTTCTTTCAATAAACCCAAACCAAATCACTGCTATCGAGTGGCCCCCGATAGGGCAGGGTAGAAGGCTCCTGTGGGTTTCCGTGCCTCTTACTATTTACCGGAGTAGAAAGCCATGTCTTTGACTCTCCTAGAGGCTTATCGTTTTGAACTGCTGACCGTGCAGTTAGTAGCTCAGGTCTCCTATTCCATCTGTACTTACTGCCATGGAGTCGCTGCTGACTCAGTGAACGCCCTGTGGGTTTCCGAGGCTGTCACTCTGTAACTGTGTAGGAGAGTCGAACGCGGTCTTTCTCCTGCAGAGCTGCCGGTGGTTTCAAACTGCCGACTATGCAGATCGCAACCCAAGGCATTGCCACTACACCACCAGGGCTCCTCATTCAATAGAGATCTGTATGAACCACATACTGGGCACACCGACCTGGTGATGTCGACTTTTGTTAATAAATCAGAGCCGTGAATACTGTGAAGGAAGAACTCAAGGGCGCAGGGGACTCTGGGAGCCGTCCTAGAGAAGCAAAGCCCCAAACCCATTGTCATGGCATCGATTCTGACTCCCGGCGATTCCGCGGGACAGAGCAGAACTGCCCCACAGGGTGACCAAGGCTCTCGTCTTGAGGGGAGCAAACTGCTGTACCTCCCCCAGAACAGCTGATGGGTTTGACCTCCAACCTCTCAGTTAGTAGTCAAGTGCTGTAGCCACCAAAGTCGTTTAGCAGCAGACAGGGCGGGGAAAATTGGCAGGTGTTCAAAAAGAGGCTTAAGTTTGATTTTTGGCCTATCTGAGAAGCCCTGTGATTATTGAGCAAGGGATTTAGCCTCTCTGAACCTCTATTTCCTCACTGGAAAAACAGATGACTCGCGGTGTCGTAAGGATTTAAAAGGAGATGTTTGGTGCACAGTAAAGTATGCAGCAGTTGAGAGTTACCAGTGACAGTCATATAATATGTGCCGGCTGTGGGTTGAGGTGTTTCAGCCTCAATATCGTGCACGTTTGCGGCTGGATGATTCTTTGTCATGGGGGCTGCCCTCTGTGCGACAGGGTATGTGCCAGTATACTTGGGCTGTACCCATCCTTCCCCACCAAAACTGTCTCCAGACACGGTCATGCCCCTGTGGGGTTCGGCTCCCAGGTTGAGAATCATTACTGCTATATGGGAAGTTCCATTCTGGAGCAGGGGATGCAGAGTTCTACTCAAGGCAGAGGGCCTGCCCTCGGGGAGCTGATAGACAAGATAACCCTAAAGAAAGAGAATCTCTCCAAACTCCCTGCCATTAAGTCGAGTCTGACTCGGGGTGGCCTTTTTGGGAGGAGCAGAACTGCCTCTGTGCACTTCCGAGACGAACTTTCTACAGGAGTAGCAAGCCTCGTCTTTCTCCCGAGGAGGGCCTGGTGGTTTTGGGCTGCTGGCCTTGCAATTAGTAACCAACACGTCACCCACAATGGCACCAGGGCTGTCTACTCCATACAGATTTAAAGGCTCGGAAATCCAGAGAGACAGTTCTGCTCGGAGTCAGAAGAAAATCTGGGTGGTGAGAACCACCCTGTGATCTCAAGCCTCAGCACCTTCATGAAGAGAGTCCCCTGGCCCAGGAGCCTGGTCTGCAGGGAGGGCCTGTCCCCGCCTCCCTCGGCCTTTATCACCCACACTGCTCTCTTGGCAGCCATCGAGGAGATCAAGGAGAAGATGAAGACCGTGAAGCACAAAATTCTGGTGCTGTCGGGGAAAGGCGGCGTTGGGAAAAGCACGCTTAGTGCCCACCTGGCCCACGGCCTGGCAGAGGACGAGAACACGCAGGTGGGACTGGAGGTTGGGGGGAGGCTAGGGGAGGCTCCTTCTGCCCTGGGCCATGATGGCATCCCATAGCCTAGCCTACAGAGTAAGCTGATTGACCTCTTTGGAATAGATTTCTGCAGAAAGATTCCCAGTACACCTGATCACGTGCTGCCTGTCCGGTGGATGCCAATTCTGGGCGACTACTAATGTGTCAGAGAAAAACTGGGCTCCAAGGAGTCTTCATTGGCAGATTTTTCAGAAGTAGATCACCAGGACTTTCTTCTTAGGCACCTGTGGTAGGGTTGAACCTGCAAGGCTTGGGTTAACAGCTGAGCAGGTCAACTGTGGGCACCACCTCGGGCAGGGGTCCTCAAACTTTTTAAACGGGGCCAGTTCACTGTCTCTCAGACGGTTGGAGGGCCAGACTATAGTTTAAAAAAAAAAAAACTATGAAATTCCTATGCACACTGGATGAGTCGGCTGCTAAGCAGGACAGGCAGCGCTGGCAAAAACACTCGGTGGGCCGCATGTGGCCCTCGGGCAGTACTTTGAGGACCCCTGACCTAGGGATACAAGGGGATACCTTGCAGTAAGGTCCAAGTGTGTTGGTGGCTTGTTCTCTGCTGTGACAATGCAGAGCAGTGTTCCCTCTCTTCCTTATTTGCCCCTTCCTGTTTCTCTCCCGACTGGGGTCAGCAAACGAGCCGGTGGGCTAGTTCAGCCTGCCGCTGGCTTACTAGCCTGTGCAAGGAGCTGGGTGTTGAGAATTTTAAAGCGTTACTTGTAAGTGGTTTGATGGGACCTACATGTTTCATCTTGACCCGTGAAGCCTGAAATAGCTCTTCCTTAGCTCTCCAAGGAGGAGTTTGCAGACTCAGTATGCACAGGCAGCCTCCTCTCCCCATTTGTGCAGGTGAGCGCTGGAGCGTGAGCGCTCGCTGCTGCTTTGTACTGCGGCTTCAGGGAGAAGAGCGGTGCTTCTCGGCCCGCAGGTCGGTCTCGCAGGTCTGATCTGAAAACTCTGCCTTCTTTGTAGCGACCCAGAGTTTGCATCTCCAGATACTCACTGGGTCACCATCCTGGGATCCGTACAGCCATGCATACTGTGGCTTGCTTTTGTTAAAAAACATAGAGCACATGCCACCTTTTAAATTTCCAGAATGAAATACTGCTTAAAGCCCCAATATTTAAAACAAACAAACAGCCCAACGGCTAACACCAGACCACTCTACATAACCTGAGTGTGCACACGCACGCACACGCGCGTGCACACAAGCCTGGAGAATGTGCACCAGGAATGAGAGGCTCCTCTGGAAGGCATGTGGTACACTGTCGTGCTGTGTGATTGGTGCGCTGTGGTCCCCAGGGACTGGGAAGGCAATGCTGAGCTGAGGGCCTGCGTCGCTCTGGGAAAGCACTGGGTGGAGAAACCGCATGACTTGATACGACTATAGGAGCACTGCTATGACATCCAGCATGTGAGGGGCTGTCATTAATAGAGTTTGCTGTGTCTCTGGGAGGGTCAGAAGGCAGGCAGTGGGTGGGGACAATGAGGACAGCGGCCCAAGGGGGAAGAAATGGAGGCACATAGCTGTGGGGAGCAGCAGAGGACGGGAGCCTGACTTAGGGGCCAGGCTGACCTCGCTGGCCCGGTGCTGTGATCCTGGGCAGGTGGCCAGCCTGTCACTGCCTTGCTTTTCCCGCCTGTGACATGACCCTTGGGGCAGCCTTAGTAGACGCCCCTGCAACAGCAGCACCACCGGCTACTGTCTCGTCAAGTCCAATGCCTGGCGGCCCCAAAGATCAAACAAAGGCTGTGCTGTGTAACCTGGTGTGTGGCTGAGTGTCTAGGGAGGACTTGAACCACCAGCCTTCTGGGAAGCAGCCATGTGGGCTGCTCACTGGCAGTGCCCAGGAGCTCCGGCACATGGTGAGCTCCTGACCACCGGGATGGTGGTTTTCTGTCTTGCAGACAATGAGTGCGTCACCTAGCCAGGTTCAGCGCACACCTGCTGACTTGTCTGTCACCTGGCTGTCTCTGGCCATGGGGGCTCACATCTGGATCAGCTGGCTGGTGGGCAGGGTAGCCGGCTCCCTCAGGTGTCCAGCTGGATGGCAGCAGCTTGTCAGCCGGGTCCTCAGGGGCCACCAAGGAAGTGAGTGGACTCGGCCAGTGATACAGTGATGAAGTCCTCGGCAGTTAGAGCCACCAGGAGAGGTGGGCATGGGGGGCCGCTTCTGTGCTGTCACGGCCTGCAAGCCCCCGTGGAGCGGTCTGCCCTGTGCTGAGGCCGCGCTGCCGGGGCCGCCTGGACAGCAGTGTGCGTGGGCACATGCCGTTCCCCACGGGAGCCCACTGTGCTCTCCGTTGGGCTTCCTGTGTATGCAGAGTGGAGCCACTCTGCGGGTGCTCGAGGCCGGGACATTCGAAAGCAGATCGCCAGGCCTCCCTCCCGAGCCACCAGCCCTGTGGGTAGTTCCAGTGCCCTGGGGACTGGCCTTCTCCAAAAGGAGGCAGGCTGCGGGCCACCTAGCATAGTGACAGTGGGCTCCCGTAGGGCTGTGGTGAACAGGTTCCTTCCCAAGCCTGAGGCTCTGACGGAAAGTGTGTGAGGTGTGTTCAGAGGGCGGAGACAGGGAAGCCAGTGGTCCTGGCTTGCTCTCCTGGCGGCCAGCAGAGGGCGCCTGGGGCATGCAGCGGATCACTTAGGACTCGCCACCAGTATGGGTCTGGTGTGCTGAGGAAGTAGTGTGGGTTTGCTCAGCAGCCTTGAAGAGGGAAGCAAGAAACGGATCTGGGCAAGTTAAAAAGTTAGCCAGGGTTGCTTCACCCATGGGGGCCAGACATTGCCGCTTTCAAGATGAGTCCTAAGATGCCCAAGGCTAGCTCATTCATGGGCCAGACAGGAAGTCGGGGTGTCTGGGGGGAGAGGAGGTGGCGAAGCTGCTGTATAAAGAGCTCTCATTAAAGACTGCCTTCTTATTTTCAGGTGCCCTCTGAGAGGTTAGCCTGAGCTACCATTCACCCCAGGGTCACAGAGGCCCTGGGGAGAGAGTGCAGTACTGGGCCTCAGATTCAGGAGACCTTGGTGGACGTCACAGTGTTGCCTCTGGCTTGTCGGGCAAGTCCTGGGGCCTCTCGCAACCTCTGTTTCCTCTTCCGCAGAGACAGAGCTCCCCAGGGCAACAGGTGGGAATGCCAGGGCCTGCCATGTGCCGAGGGCTCAGTGGACCGTGGCTGTGCCCAGGTCATCAGGCCATCGCAGAGCTAAGCCAGGCTCTGTGGGGCCAGGGCCCGTGGCCTTCACTGAGTTCTTTTCGGAGGGCTGTGGCCTCCATGACTGGAAGATGCACGCTGCTCCTGTTGTGACCCCCGCCCCCTAGCCTGCGCCGAGTCTGGCCCAGTGCCCGGTGCCTTCTTTCCCCTTCAGCCAGTGTGCACGGGGGCATCTGCGACATGCAGCTGTGTAACCGCCCTGCTCTCTTGTTCCCCAGGTTGCTCTCCTAGACATTGATATATGTGGGCCGTCAGTTCCCAAGATAATGGGATTGGAAGGCGAACAGGTAATGTTTCAGCGATAGCCGTTTCAGAACTGAGGAAACACGCCCTTAAGCCCAAACGTTCCAGCTGAGCATGACAACACAGCCAGTGGGAAGCAGGGCCTGTCGGTCTCTGCTCGGGTGGGCACTCTGGAAGCTGGCCAGGCTCCCGCTCAGCTCCCTAGCTCCAGGCTGCGCCCACTAGTGCGCTGCATTCGGAGGGGCATTAGCTGAAAAGTTCACCAAAGCCACTTGAGAAAGGGTAGTTGTGATGTCTTCTTAGAGGGAAGGGAAACAGGCGTAAAATGCAGAAGCCAGACAAGGAGACTCGGCCCTGACAGGGAAAGCCAGGCCAGGTTTGCAAGGGGTCTGTACCATGGGAGCAGGGAGTATTTCTGCCCTTGGGGGTCTCCTGAGGAGCTGTGATGGGGGCCAGTGAGGGACGGGCAAGGGGTGGGCAGACTCTGGCCTTTCGTTTGGGCGGGGAGCCGCAAGCTGCAGAGGAGTCCCCGAGAATTCACACTGGAGCTAGGACTCTAGGCTCAGGTGGTTCCAGGTCTTCCAGGTTCCTTCTGGGTAAAGGGGACACACGCAGAGAGATGAACCCCCCTCCCCAAGTGCGGCCCCATGTGGAGATGCTGCTGAGTGGCTTTCCACTTCCGATGGGGAGTCGTTGACAGTTTTAAGAAAACTCAGACTTCCTCCAGGAAAGCGGACTTTGTTTCTGCTCCTGCACGTTGCTCGAGAGGCTGTGTTGTCCGATGGGAGCTCAGTTGTTAGGTGATTCCGACTCACAGTGAGCCCGTGCACAGCAGCACGGGACACTGCCCCTCTGTGCCACGCTCACGGTCATTGTTGCAGCCACTGTGTCCATCTGTGGACACAGACGGGGGCTCTATTTTTTCACCACCCCCTACTTTCCCAAACATACTGGTCGGTCCTTCTCTAGGGACTAGTCTCGCCGGGTAATGTGTCCAAAGTACATGAGGCAAGGTCTTGCTGTGCTCCCATCCCAGCGGCATTCTGCCTTAAGTTCATTGAAACTCACTGCCATCCAATAGCGACCCTATTGGACAGGGTAGAACTGCCCCTCTGAGTTTCCAAGACTGTATCTTCACAGGAGTAGCTGGTGCATCTGAGTTACTGACCTTGCAGTTAACAGCATAACACATAACCACTATGCCACTGTGGCTCTATTGACTTAGCTGTAGCTTTGTAAAAAAAAGTCTGTAAATGAGGCAGAGTTGAGCCTTGAAGTATAGCAGTGATCATCCCAGTATCCCCTGAGGCCAGCTGGCCAGCACTCAGATGGGGCCACTGGCTGGGCAGTTGTGCTTTTTAACAGAAACACAACTCATCTGCCAGTTTAGTCCCTTTCGCGTGTAGAGCTCAGTGAGCGAATGTTAATCCTATGCAGCAGTAGCCACTGCCCGCTGCTGCACGGGCTATCAGCAGAAAGCCCTGCTTCGGAGCCAGGACGCCCCCAGCTCCCAGTCATCACAAATAAACTTCGATCTCTGCACATTGGTGGCCAGGCAGGTTCTGACTCAGCCATTGTGGGCAATTCCCTTTGCCGTGGACACTTCCAAAGCAGCTTCGTTGTTTCACAGCGGCCTACGTTTTCTCAGTCCCCACCCGAGTTCCGCGTCACTTTTGAAAAACACTTCAGACCCAAAGTTATATTGAAGCCCAGCTTTGGTTCCCTGACTCGGTACCGGGGCGCTTTTACAAGAACCCAACTAGGAGGCTGAGGGGCTAGAGGGCATCTGCTGCTGCCCACCCAGTCCACTTGTCGAGTGTCTGAAAACTCCACACAGCATGTGAGTCACATGTGAGCTTCCAAAGCTGTCTTCCCTGTAGGAGCCCCCGTGGCAGAGGGAGAAAGATGAGGCAGTCTGCTCCCATACAGATTCACAGTCCCGAAACCTGAGGGGACTCTCTGCTGCCCTGTAGGGTCCTTGTGAGTCAGAATCCACTCGATGGCAGTGGGTTGGGTTGGGTTGGGTTTGGTCTTTATAGAATTTGTCTAGCGTATGGGAGGTGACCAGGTGTCTGGTTCTTAGAAATGACCATTGCTGCTCATGTTCCCGCAGGTTCACCAGAGTGGCTCGGGCTGGTCTCCAGTGGTGAGTTCACCTCTGGGTGGTGTTGTCAGGCTCGGGTGTTATGGGTCCCGTGTGCACAGTCAGTCAGGATGGCGGGTCCCCAGCACTGTTCTGAAACAGTTCGTTCATCAGCCAGCAGGCATTGATTGAGGCATTTTGAGAGGCGTCCAGGGAAAGGATGAAGACCAGGGGTCAGCCAGCTTGCTTGGGAAAGGGTCAGTAGTAAATATGTTCATCTCAAGGGCCGACTAGTCTCTGCTGCACAAGCGTGAAAGCAGCCGTAGACAATTATCAACAAATGACCACCGTTGTGTTCCATTAAAACTTTATTTATTGACCAAAACAGGCAGGGAGACAGATTTGGCCCCAGCGGCCACAATTTGCTGGCTTCTGGTGCAGACAGTTGAGGGAAGGTCCTTGATTGCTTTTAACCAAGTGTCCTGTCCTTATAAGGCTACGCGGGGCCTCTCTCAAACCCTCTCCGTTCTCTAACAGAAACCTTTACCGCCACCCCCTCCCCCAAAATGATTTGAGGATACAGAGAGGGAATCTACTCAGAGGCCCCGTGGTAATTTTGTTTAGAAAACATTTTTGGTCAGCGTTCAGTCAGAAGACTAGAGAAGGCCTCTCTTCCTTCGTGGGGCTCTCTGAACCACCTCCCCGTGTCCCCTCTGCAGTACGTGGAGGACAACCTGGGCGTGATGTCGGTGGGCTTCCTGCTCAGCAGCCCTGACGATGCCGTGATCTGGCGGGGACCCAGGAAGAATGGTCAGTGCCTCTGCTGCCCTGCTTATGCCTCGGTCACTCTCCACAACAGGGGCGACCTGTGCCATCTGGAGGGCAGCGCTGGTTGTCTGGAGATCAGATCCCCTGCCGGGTGTCTGTTTACGCGCTGTAGTCCCTATTATGCACTGGACGTTTACAGCTAACAGCCCCATTAACCCTGCAGTGGCTTTTGTTAGGGGTTGATAGTGGCATTGTTGGGTCAGAGAGAGGCGTGGGAAAAAGCAGTGGCCCGTGTCCAGGGTTTCCCTGCTTTCCCTTTGGACGGACGTGTTGGCCACGTCCTCCTCTGTGAGGGGCCGGCCTGAGAAGCCGAGGACTTTTAGCAGCATCCCTGCCTTGTACCTATCGGATGTTAGCAGTGCCCCCACCCCCAGACATGACAACCTTAATGTCTCCCCGTGCTGCCGCTCTCCCCGGGGCAGAGTCGCCCGGCTGAGGACCACTGCTCTAAGCAGGGCCTGAATGTACCACGCACGCAGCCTGCTGCTCGGCGGGCCCTCTGTTCAGGAAGGATGAGCGGCCGTCCTCCCTCTGGCCTCTTTCCAGGCATGATCAAGCAGTTCCTGCGAGACGTGGACTGGGGCGAGGTGGACTACCTCATTGTGGACACGCCGCCCGGAACCTCCGACGAGCACCTCTCCGTGGTCCAGTACCTCTCGGCGGCCAACATTGACGGTGTGGTGATCGTCACCACCCCGCAGGTGAGCTGGCACAGTGAACCGCAGCTTCCCAGGGTTCCTTACCGCGCCGCTCTGAGCCCGGCACGCCCGGAGGCATCCGCCCGCCCGCCAGTTCCAAGCCATCGCTCATTTTGGCTGCACAGGCCTCTTGTTGAAATTGTCTGTTTCAGGCCGATGAGCTTTGCTGTTGTGTGGGGCCATCGAGTCCCTCTCGACTCACAGGGAGCCCATGGCACACTGGTTTCCCCGTCGTCAGGCCCCTGGGGGAGCAGCTTACCCGTTCATGGCTGCCCAAATTAAGCGGTTGTGGGTGAACACGGCCTGCCTGGTTTCTCTGCACAATGCCAGCAGAATGGTGGGTGCTGCTGTCCTTTCACTGGCCTGTATGGCTGCATCACCCACCTGGTCCTCCCGAGTCACAGCCCCACAGCGAGCAGAGCCAGCCCTGGGCCTGCACAGGGGATTCTGGGTAAGGCGCTGTGTGTCCTGAGCCTTCTGAAGCACTGCCTGCTCTCTTCTCCACTGGCCACACCCAGGCGGGGCCACCAGGAGGAGCCCAGACGGAGAGCCCAGCACAGGGCGGGCTGCAGCCAGGGGTGAGCAGCTGCGCTGCTACCATCAAGCCCAACGGGGCCCAGGAAGCCACCAGCTCGTTTATCATCTCACAGCGCCCCCCTCTCCATGGCATTCCCTCCTCAGTCCACAGAGGTGGCAGGGGTGCTGTGGCTGCTGGTGGGTAGGCCGGACTCACGGGGACTCATGCCCAGCCCTGTTGTGTCCTCGTCGTGGGTACAGATCGGAACCTTGTGGCGCACAGGGTTCCTATCGGCTCATCTGCAGACGTAGCGTGTTTTCTTCCCAGTCTGCCCCACTCTGGAAGCTGTGACAAACAGGTGGCGTCTGGGCTTGAGGCACCTTGGTCAGGGAAGCAGCAGAGATGGCAATGAGAGACAGGGGACCCCTTCTCCACCCACAGGAGGGCACTGGGTAGGGTCCTGGCAGTCTGGAATGCTCACCACTGTTGGCTTCAGCCTGTGCTGTGGCCCAGCCCAGGCCCGCAGGCTGGATCAGTGGAGAGCAGGCTCCTTGTGGCCCAGACAGTACAGCTTGGAGGCAGATGCAGTCCACACTGCCCCTTTCTTCCCAAGGTGAAGAAAGACGGTGAGTACGGAGCAGTGTCGGTGCCTAGGAGTCACGCTGCAGAGCAGTGGTTCCCAACCTTCCGAGTGCTGCGACCCTTTAACACAGGGTCTCAGATTGTGGTGACCCCCCAACCATAAAATTACGTACTTCCATTGGTACTTCATAGCTGTCTTTTTGCTACTGTTATGAATCGGGTGACCCCTGTGACAGGGTTCGACCCCCAAAGGGGTCGCAATTCACAGGTTGAGAACCACTGCTATAGAAGCAGCCCTCCAGGCTCAGGAATGGGTTTTGAAGGCTGTGTGGTCACGGTGGGAGCTCTGTGGCCCAAAGTGAACAGCAGCGTTCAAGCCCATGGGGAGGCTGAGGCAGGCGGTTTGTGTTAGGGCCTGCAGCCTTGAGCGCCTGTTGGGCATTTCCTGGGCCAGCCAGGCTGCTGTGGGTGGAGTTGGCTCTTGGGGAGGTTGGGTTGGAGTCCTGGTGGCTTAGTGACTCTGCGAGGGGCTGCGGTCCACCGGGCCAGCCATTGAGACCACCAGCCACTGCACTGGGGAAAGATGCAGCTCTCTACTCCCGTGGAGTTGGAGTCTGGGAACCCATGGGGCAGTTCTGCCCTGTCCTAAGGGTCGCCGTGAGTCGGCGTGACGAGAGCTTGCTCTTGTTGGTGTTGAGCACCTCACACGCGGATCGTGGGCAAACCCTTCCAGGGAAGGGCTGGTGTTGGTGTTGGGCACAGACGTCCTTTGCGGCATCGCATACTGTGCCTGGCCTGTGGCAGTGAACACCGGGGCGCTTTCCCGTGACAGGAAGTATCGCTCCAGGACGTCCGGAAAGAGATCAACTTCTGCCACAAGGTGAAGCTGCCCCTCATCGGGGTGGTGGAGAACATGAGCAGCTTCGTCTGCCCCCGGTGTAAGGTGAGCGCGGCTCCCCGCTTTCCCGCTTGGCTGGGGTCAGCCCTTCACACTCACTGACTAGAAGGCTTTCTTCAGGGGGTTGCTTAGTTGACATTCCAAATAAGACATTTTCCCTTTTTTCGTTTTAAATCATATATTGGGATCCCTTATAGCTCTTAGCACAAACCATACATCCATCTGTTGTGTCAAGCACATTTGTACACACGTTGCCATCATTTTCAAAACACTCCCTTTCCACTTGAGCCCTTGTTATCAGCTCATTTCCCCCCTCATTCTGTCATAAAACCTTGATAATTTATAAATTATTATTATTATTATTATTCATGTCTTACATCAACACTGTCTCCCTCCACCCAGTTTTCTGTTGTCCGACTCCCTGGGAGAGGGTTGTATGTAGATCATTGTGATTGGTTCTCCCTTTCTACCCCACCTTCCCCTTACCCTCCTGGTATCGCTACTCTCATTATTTGTCCTGAGGAGTTTATCTGTCCTGGATTCCCTGTGTTTCCAGTTCTTATCTGTACCCATGTACATGCTCCGGTCTAGCCGCATTGTAAGGTAGAATTGGGATCATGATAGTGGGGTGGGAAGGAGCATTAAAGAACTAGGGGAAAGTTGTATGTTTCATCATTGCTATTCTGTACCCTGACTGGCTTGTCTCTTCCTTGTGGCCCTTCTGTAAGGGGATGTCCAATTGTCTACAGATGGGCTTTGGGCCTCCACTCCGCCCTCCTCCTATTCACATTGAATGATTTTTTATTCTGAGTCTTTTAAGTTCTTTTAATCTGGATCTATCTCATCATCCTGCCCAAACTCACACTCCCCAACTCCCCGACGTGCCTTTCAGAAAGAATCGCAGATTTTCCCGCCGACCACTGGTGGCGCGGAGGCCATGTGCCAGGACCTGCAGATCCCGCTCCTCGGCAGAGTGCCTCTGGATCCACAGATAGGTGGGTGTGTCAGCATGCCTGGCACTGCCCCCTGCCACCAAGGGGCCAGTGGCCAGGATCCAGTCAGGGTCTGGGTTTGAGGAGATGTATGGGGGCATGCTGAAGCCACTCCAAAAGTCCGCTGAGGGTATGGCCAGGTGGCCCAGGCAGGCCTCCAGGGTGAGGTGGTGGCCAGGCCCAGCATACGGAGGGAGCCACCTCCCAAGGCAGCACAGCCCCTTCTCCCAGCTGAGACAACTGCAGACCACCAGGGAGGCCCTGGCCTGCAACTCATGGATGCGCTCCTCTTGGAGAGCCGTGAGCTCGCATCCAGGGAACCAGAGCAGCAGCAGTGGGCCCGTCTGCACCTCACCCCGGGGCACCGGCTGGCAGTGGGGGAGGGCAAGGGCTCTATCTCCAGCAGCACAGCATTTAACTTGCTCTGGCTACACTGCCTGCCCGACAGTGACAGTGTCTCATTCACAGGGGTGTCTGGCTCTGAGGAGAAGGGGAGAGGCCACTGTGAGGGGCTTTTTCCCCCCAAGCCCTGGCACCCCGCTCCTGTTAGGGAATGAAGACCCTGAGGTGTGTGAGCCTGGGCTTCGAGCAGCAGCCCGGGGCCAGTATCCAGAGGGAGGTGACCCGGGGATCTGCGGTTCTGTGGGGGGAGGCGTGACTCCCCGAGGTGGCTAGACAGGCTCTGCCAGCCAGGAAAGTAATGGTGAAGAGGCCTGGGGCGTCTCGAGGGAGATCAAAAGCAGAAATGGGGAAAGCAGGGGCATCCTTCCCGAGGGGCGGATGACCTTTGAGGGCAACAACTGAGATAGGTGTGGCTCGGTTTGTGCAAGGCTTGGGCCAGGAGAGGGGCCAGTGGTGGAGGGCCACACCCTTTAAGGGAGACTCCAGACCTGAGGGGGATTGTGGTGGAGAGGGCCCAGAATAAACCTGGGGAAATGGGAAAAGGTGTAGGTGTCGTCCCAGGAGCAGGCATGTGAGCCAGGAGAGATGTCTGAAGATCCCCCTGGTTCACACACTTCAGAAGACATCCCTGGTGTCTGGTTTCCCAGAAAATACAGGAAGCCACATCCTTGTCTTAGCCGTCCAGCAGTGACACTGAGCAGACCAGCTTCTCTGGTTCCCCTGCCTCCCCTCCCCTCGTAACAGAGACTCAGTCAGGGAGTGGTGACAGGAGAACTGGCCTTGCCAGAACCTACCTGAGGCTGCAGCACACCAGCCTGGCCTCGGCCTTCCAGTCTGGCTCAGATTCTGGGAGCAGAGCAGGCTGATGACGCTGCGCTCCCAAGGATTAGGGGTTGGGGCTTGCCTGCCACTGTCTGACGTGCTGCACCTCCCTGGGGTGGAGAGCCATGTGGCTGAGCAGAGACTAGCCAATCTCAAGGTGCTGGTGTGTGGTGACCTTCAGGGTACAAAGCAGTGGGCAATGTTGTGAGCATGTCTGAGCAGCCAGAGAAGGGACAGCCTTGGGCCTCTGCTAACCCAAAGCCCGAGAGAAAGGAGGAAACCCATGGCTCAGAGAAGAAACTTGTCCCAGCACGGTCTTCACGGCCGTGGTCTAATCGGCCCTGAGACCGGAAGAACTAGGTGGTGCCCGCTACCACTACTGCCCATTCCAGTCACGGCCTGCATGGCTGTGGATAGGAGCAGGGACATGTAGAATACGACCTCAAACTTCTAAGAAACCAGACCTCCTGGGCTGGTTGAGACTGGAGGTGTCCCTAAGAAGACTACCCTGAGACAGTCTTCCAGTCATGAGCTGAAACTAGCCCTTGAGGTCACCTTGTTAGGAAGTAGCACATTGGCTCAAAAGTACCAATCACCCATGAGCACTATTGTTGTGATGGTGTTTGGTACCATCGAGTGGTTGTGCCCTTAGCGGCCCCGTGCACAACAGGATGAAACACCCTCCCAGCTGTTCTGTGCTCAGTCCCATCGTTGCAGCCGCCGTGCCCATCACTCTCGTTGACAGCCTGCCAGCACC